TTATTCAAATGGCTTACATTCTTTCAGATTCATTCAGAGTCAGTACAATTCAAAATTGGTCAGAATAACTCACCTTCCACTTTAGAAGCTTGAAGAGCTGAAAAAGTGGGAATTTGCAGCCGAATTCCATCGAAATCAGCTGTCACCGTCACCGAGCCGCAGCCGCTGTCGCGTCACAGTGCAGCGCGGCTGTGCCGCCCCGACAGTACGTAATGAGGACTGTACATACTTTGCGGCAGTGTTTCGAGCGAACGCCACCGCCAACGGCTGGGAAAGTTTGGATATCGATTTAGCGAGCGACAGCGTCCACCAGCGTTCGCTAACGTCCAGTAGTGGAGAGAAGGGAGAAATAGGAGGGTTGTAGACGGCTGGAATTGAGAGCAGTGAAATTGCCTCGTGTGCAACCGCATTCTGCGTCTCTATTCAAGATTCCATGGGGAGTTGAAACCATTCTCTGGTATGAGCTCTGAGCCAAAATGCCCCATCCTATTGAACTGGCGCTTTTTCTCCTGAAATTTTGCGTGGTTTTCATTCTCTCTTCATAGTATGTTTACTCGGTTGTTTCTTTAAATTCGCGACGGCGAGATTTTTCTGTGAATCGGACAGTACAATCCTTTATGACTTCTGATTGTCCATAACATGTTCAGAGTCAGAGGGTAATCGTTTCAGGTGGAGAGAAAGGGGCAAACAGTTCTGTTTGCTGCTAAACAACCTCGTCAGAATTCCATGTGCTCTGTACCTGCTGCGTCGGCAGCTACAGCTGTGTCAGTGACTTCATCGTAAACATGTTCCCTTCTGTTTGAGCTTTCTTCATTTATTTCTTAACCCATTAAAATATCAACGAATGAAGCATCAACTTTCCATTGTGTATGTTAGCAAGTTTTTGCGTAGGGTACGTTCTACATTTAGAAGACCGGGAAGACTTCAAGTTTATGGACGTTTCTTGACAATCTAAGGAAATTTCTTGGCACGCTTAGACCACGTTCAATCTTCGCGATCGGATCGCTCGATTAGATCGTACGGCCACAACCGGGGGCGCTTCATCGCTAAGGGTGCAGCTCCACAACGGCAGAATTCAGTTCAGCCTGCGCTTACCCAGTGTCATTTTCATTTGCTTCGTTGTGGCAGTGCGCTCTTTGGCGATGGAGCGCCCCCGGTCATGGTCGCGCGATCCAATCAAGCGATTCGATCACGAAGTATGGACGCGGTCTTAGGCCGCGTTCGTATATCGATGGTGTGAAGAATGCGCGAATCAGGAGAACGCGTGTGTGGAAGAAAGACACTTGAGTGTGGCATCGCGCACAAGCAAACGGAGTATTTCCTAGCCAGTTGATATGACGCGCATCAGTATTCTTCCTTGAATCAACTGTGTCCTGGTGCAGAACTCCGTAGTTGCTCCCGTCAGTACGGCCACTTTCGTCGCAACTGCTAAGGCTTGCGTTCATTCTTTGTGGCAGCGTTTCGAGCGAGCGCGAGCCACTCGGAAAAGATAGGCATCGATTTAGCGACCGCCCGTGCGCAATCGTCCATCAGCGTCTCGAAGGACTAAGCAAGTATAGGTACCAATCCGCGAACGCCAGCGTACAGCAGCGTTTTTGTGGACACTTTTGAACTTTAGCAAAAGTGTCCGCGAAAACGCTGCTGTACGCAGGCATACGTTGACGATCGATGCCTGTTCTTCCGTAGTGCCTGGCGCGGGCGTTCGCTCAGAATGCTGCCGCACGCTGGTAGAGCTTGTGGACGTTGTGGCAAAGTATGAACGCAGCCCAACCGGGCAGTTCCTGCCGTTGAGAAAGAATTTTCAAAATAAGACCTTCAGAATTCTTGTTCTAGTGAAACTCCTTTTCCCCATCCTTCCTGCCATCTTTCTAAATTTTCCCGACTTTGCACCTTTTTTCAGGTTTTTCCCCCTCCCTCTACCACTCACTTTAATCCAAAAAAAAAACCGTCTACGAACAATACCGAGGAGGGTCAATCTTTAAAATCATTTTTCTGAAAGTCAAATACGACTTGCACCTCACCTACAGCAACCAAGTTAGGCGCAGTTTATCGACAGGGGGGGGGGGCATTTTGCTTTCCATAGATGTGTCGACCCATCTAGGTAGCGTTTTTCTCGAGTTGACACGTTTTGGGATGGTGGCTAGACGATCCTGCTCCAGCTTTACAAGAGTTCACAAGTTTTACCAAAGTGAGATTTGCAAACCGGAACAAGGGAAGCAGTGTAGTACAAAATGCCCCCCCCCCGTCGATAAACAGCGCCTCCAATTATCTCTCCTCCCTCCCCTGCTGGGGATCTCTAAGTTCCTGCTTGCTATATCACTGATGTGCTGATCCATACTCGAAGAATGCGCGAATGCGGAGTCGATCGATCCAATTTCGTCTTTTGTCATGCACTCGCGGGTTCTTCCGATCAATGCATTTTTCTTTCCTTTGCACGCCAAGATCAAAGTATGAACGCGTCCTCAGTGTGTAACCCGTGTTTTTTCGGCAGTAGATTTGTTACATTTACTCGATTCATGTTGCGTGTGCAATAAATGATTTTCGATTTTTTTCCGGTTCGTGCTGCTCACTTTTCTGATATGAAGGGAACATATTTTAGCGGAACAACCATAGAAAACGCATCCGCTCCTAAGGAAACTTTGTCTTCGATCACTTCAGAGTAAGTTCGCGCTGCCTATCGCTAGTTCATGCACTTGCACCTTTATGAATTCCTCATGTGAGCAAACATACATGTTTGGAAGGTTAAGTTTAACAAGTTCTTTCCAGCGGTACTAGAAGTGGAACGCTGGACGCTTCCTTACAAATTGAAAAACAGCCTTCACAAGTGACTGAGTTGGTACCTTCACATGTTTCTATGCAAAAACCTTTTGAAGCCACTCTTCAGTTTCCTGTTTCTAGGGTATGGGGCGCACCACCGCTCTAAACGTTAGGCAGCGTTCATACTTCGCGACAGCCGCGGCCACAGCGATCGTCCCTACGCGACAGAGCGCGCCCCAACACTATTACTTAGACCGCTCCGAGTGTTTTTAGCCCAATTTCGTGCTTTTTTTTCTTTAACTGCAATTGTCTTCAGGTACTGAAGCTTGGTTTGACACAAGGAAAGGTGAACCCAACTTAATGGCTTTTGTTTTCTATTTTCTTTCTTGATTCAGGATAGAAATGAGCAAAAAGCGTGAGAGCTTCATTTAGGGTAGGTTTTATTGTTTCTTTTTTCATTCATAGAGCTTATAAAGTTTTCTCCTGTGTATGTTGCATAAAATGAATTAGTGTTTTGGTTTCTAGGTGAGTTTCTGTTTCTTTTTTTCGTTGTTTGAACTCGACTTGTAAACTATAAATGTTTTGGAAGTTGGAACAGTTTAGACAATAGGAAACTTTTAAGACGCTTATATAAATTGAAACAATGAAAACAAACGAAACAAAAAGAAGCTCACCTAGGAAATGAAGTTGCCTTATCCGGACTTTAAAAAAAGGTGAACCTGTCCCCACCTCATATTCCTGATTCTCCTATGTGCAGAAAGTCGTAGGTTTTCAGTTGATTGCCATAAGAGAAAAAAAAGATCTCACAAGGGAATCCCTTATTTATTAAGCGAGCGGTCCACGTAATAGCGTTGGGGCGCGCTCTGTCACGTACCGACGATCGCGGCGATCGCTACGATCTCCACGAACGCCGCGATCGCCGCTGCTATCGCGAAGTATGAACGTTGCCTTGGGATTTTGAGAACGCGTCCAGAATTTGCGATTGCGCGACTGAATCGCGCGACCATGAACGGAGGCGCTCCACCGTCAAGTGGTCCACCGCCTCAACGGCACAGTTCAGATTGGCACTGTGTGACGGACGCCAATTTACAGTTTTGCCCCTGCGGCGGTGCAACGTTTTACGGTGGTGCGCCCCCCGGTCTTGATCGCGCGATCGTATCGAGCGATTTGATTGCAATCGTGAAGTTTGAATGCGACCTTATTATTTTACCCATATTAAAGATCTATGTTTAATAAGTGTTCGGAAACCAATTGGAGATCAAAACAAGCAAGGAAAGGCCTAGGGAACCAGCTACTGTGTAAAGGCTGCGTTCATACCTTGCGACAGTGAAGAACTGACGAACTGGAGAGCGGCCGGAAAGGATGTTACGTGTTGTTCCGTTCTCGAAACTCGACAGGTCTACAATTTTTCAATTTCTCGGATCGTATCTAGTCCTTTCGACAGTTTCCAAATCGCCAAATCTTCATCGTCGCAATGTATGATCGCGACCTTAGCCTCGTTCAGACTTTTAGCGCTACAAGTCTGAACGCTACCTTAGAGTTCGTTCATACTTTGCGTCGGCATTTGAGCGTCTCTTAGCGTTCTGAATGTCAGTTAGCGTTTCGAAAGAACATGAAATCATAGATATCTCGATTATCGCTGAAATCGCTGGCAGACGCTCAAAATGCTGGTAGACGCTCAAAACGCTGCCGCAAAGTGAACACACTCTTAGAAACCTCCCGCTGTGCGCGGGCTCGCGCGCACCTCTGCGGCTTTGCCAATAAATGGACCTTATACTCCGTGGAAATAGGGTACTCATATGCCAACGGGCTGGCAGAAACTGCCGTGTTTGGTGACAGTTGCGACCTCAGTGAATTAATTATTTCAATTCAGCACACCTGGTAAAACAACTGTTTCCTCGTCGGAAGGTACACCTGTTTGTCGGCCGTCCAAAGCAAAACAGAAAAGGATTTATATCATGTATAAGTTTTATGGTTTTTTTCCAGACTCTGAAATGTTCGTAATGTCATTATTATCCAAAGGTCCTTGAAAGTATTGCTAGAGCCGATGCAAATATCAGTATTGATGTTGCAGGACCCGGTGGACTCCCGAGGCGACTCCTGTTAAAAGTGGAACTACTGGCTGTGATGTTTCCCCGTTCGTTTTTTTTTTATTTTTTCGTCTTCACAACTTGTTCCCATGCATTTTTGTAGCCACTGTGTACTACAAGCCGTATACTTCCAGTAGTGGGCCGTACAGCATTATGGAACCACCGAATAAGAAGAGCAAAGTTATAAACCCAGTAATGGAATCAGTCTCCATGCGAATCACGCAGTACGTTCCGAGGTTTTCTTTGTATATGGTTGGAACTCAATTGGAAGTTTCAGAAGTGTGCAGGGCGTTCCGACCAAAAGTGATGCGGGGAAAAATAAAGACGTCATCGAATCTGAGTTCATGGGCAATCAAAGGTTATTTTTGATTATCATGTTGTGTGGGAAAAATACGAAAGATTGGTGATATATCCTTTTTGGGGGAAGCAATTTCAGTGATTCGAATTCCACCACATCGACGGGTCTTCTTGAAAAGCCAGCTATATCCGAGTCTGCCGCCGAACCATCTTCTCGGTGAGTTTTGCAGGTCCTCCTTGTCATCATTGATTTTCAAGGATGTCAGATGGGAAAACATTTTGTGTTAGAGCGCGTTCAGACTTCGCGATCGCGCGCTGTGATCGCGCGATCCGATCGCGCTACTGTGGGTGAAATTACACCGGGAGGGGGTCATGTTCGTTCATGTTCAACTCAACAAAGTACTCAGATGCAAAATTCAGTATAATAATTAGCATATTGTATATTTAGTACTATTTTACATAGGAAATAATAAATAACTCAAAGATATTTCGAAACGTTCCTTAAAATTAGGAGGGCGTTATGTACACAAAGGAAGAAAGAAGGAAAAGGAAAAAAGAACAGGAACAATAAACATGAACGAACATGACCCCCTCCCGGTGTAATTTCACCCACAGTAGCGCGATCGCGCGATCGCGAAGTCTGAACGCGCTCTTAGGGGTTGGGAAACTATATGTGTGGAAAGCTAGATGCTTTTCTGTACTCGCGATCTACCTAGTTTTTCAACGGAATCTTATTGATGGTTTCTGTTTGTGTTTGTGTATAAACTGTACACTTACCTCCGTGGATCCTGATCCTTGCCACCAGTGAGGTGGACCGGTTTGCAGCTGCATCAGTGTGCCACTTACTGCGGTAAAAAAATGCACGGAGGGCTGGAAGAAGCTGATACCGGGGTGCCCTACGGCTGAAAGCGCATTATCACTGCGAGGCCTTACTATCGCCGCAAGTTCTGCGCAATGACGATAACGCAGCCTTAGCATGAAGACGACACACGGGTACCACTGCCCTGAGTCCGTTCCCGTGCAGTATTGAGCGGAGGAAATGGCGCGCTACTCAGCTGCGAATCCATTCGTTTCGAACATGGTAAGAACCGTCTTTGGGGCTTTGCGCAGGACTTACCTGTGAAAACCGCCTGTTCCGAAAGGGGAATACTCTGTGGTGATCCTCGACAAACGGCCTGTAATGTCGGCGGTCATATAGGTGACGTTGTTCTTGCCCAAAAAACATGTTTTTAATAAAGAATAGCCTAAAAGTATACAGTATGTGACCTTTTTGAGCTCTCATATTTGACAGTCGCTCCCCATGTGGGGCTGCACCATAGTGCACTCGTACAGCTGTTTGGAAATGAACTGGAGTTTTCCGACCTGGTCCAGTTTATTCCAAGGGTGATACGCGCTCATACCCGCGATTTCTAACATCACGCGTTTTCAAGCAGGTCTCCAGTTGTGGCTTGTGATGGAGCACAAAACGATGACTCGGAAGTGACACCTCGTGTAACTCGGTAAGCGTATCACTTGTCGCATGTGTGAGTGAAGTATGCAGTTCGTAAATAGTTTCAGGAGTAGAACGGCAGCGATCAATTTGATGGAGCGAGAGAGTATTGAACGCTCTGTAGGCATGAGGTGGGTGAAAAAAGATTCTATAACCTTAGCTACTCTTCACATACTTTCTTCTTCATCCTTACGAAAGCTTCTGAGAGTTCTCATATTTCTGACTAACGCTGAACGCGCATTCGTACAGCTGTTTGGAAATTAACTGGAGTTTCCAAGTACCAGCTGCTAGTCTCATTGTTGAGAGCGCACTGTAGTGCCTCTCCAATAGGAGCTGACGCGCTGTAACGCGCGTCGACGCGCTACAGTTGTAAACGCGTTCCAGTGTCTTGTTTCCGACAGTGAGACTGGTTGAGCACAAATTGGTCTGTGGCAGCGTACAGTGCGTAACAAAAGTATGTGGACACCTCAAATTTTTGTCCTGCAAAATTGCCTTTGAATTTTGCGATATGAGACCTTTATTGTTGAATTCCTCATAAGCGAAAACATAGGAATACACTACTTCTGAACACTTTGTGGACTACTGAACAATTATTTATTGTTTTGAAAAAGTTTCTTAATAACAAAAGTATGTGGACACTTAACAAAAAACAAATGTATCGTGGAAAATAGAAGTTGGTTCTTCCTCCAGTGTTCACTATTACTTCGAACATTCTGTCTGGCATGCTGTGGACAAGATTTGTCATGGTGTCTTCGTCGATTTCCTCCCGCAGCAACTATTGCCTCCTTCAAGTCTCGCACGCTGTTGTACTGCCCACTGTTCATGTAGATTCGTCGAACCATGATTCCCCACAGGATTTCGGTTGGGTTGCAGTCAGGAGAACAGGCCGTGTCCTGCTGCATCACATGTGTCCTGCGTCGTGGCCCGCTCAGAAAAGGCAAGAGGTTAGACTCAAGCAGCTGGTATTCCTCACTGTTCATACAGCACGATGGGAAGGTATGCTCCAACTTTCCTCTGCCCCGCTCAGAAAAGGAGAGGTTAGACTCAAGCAGCTCCTTGGTATTCCTCACTGTTCATACAGCACGATGGGAAGGCAAGCTCCAACTTTCCTCTGCTTCCAAAACCACCCCGTACCATCAAAGAGGCGAAATTCGTCTCGAGAACACCAACGGATCGCTACAAAGGCCTTTCCAGTGATGCTGATATCCATCTGGACCGTCGAGATTGACTTTTTCTTATCAGTGAAGATAACCTAAGAAAGAAATGCGCATAAGATGTTGCCTTTCTGATTTTACAAATATCTCAAGAAACTGCACCTTGTCCCACGACGTCGCCATGTTTGCACGCGCAAAGTTCAGTCTTGCCAGCTGGTGCTTGGCAGTCAGACGAGCTTTCTTCATGGTCTCTCGAGTGATGTGCTCACTTGATCGAATAGAGCGCCATATTGTCATTTTTGAGACCGGTAGATTCATCGCGGCATGGATCTGTGCCACAGAAAGCGGGGAGTTTGAGGCCATTCTTCTGATGTCTTTTGCGGACAAAGATCGTGGGTGCCTCGAAACAGGTACTGAGTGGTAGCCATCAGGATTCTGGAGGTATATACCAACGCACGTCGCCGAAAGTCCAAGCTATCTTGCAATTTCTCTATTCGAGTGTCCTGCAGCACTGAAAGCTCGAATCCGAGCTTGTTCGTCTTCGTAGGGAGGACTACCACGACGAGGTATGAGTACAGGTTAATGGGGACTAGAGACCATAAAAATGGATTGCAGATCTGGAGCCAAACTTTGGACTTCCTCAGGTGTCCACATACTTTTGTTATTAAGAAACTTTTTCAAAACAATAAATAATTGTACAGTAGTTCACAAAGTGCTCAGAAGTAGTGTATTCCTATGTTTTCGCTTATGAGGAATTCAACAATAAAGGTCTCATATCGCAAAATTCAAAGGCAATTTTGCAGGACAAAAATTTGAGGTGTCCACATACTTTTGTTACGCACTGTATGCAGCCTGAGGCACGAGGAGTCCTGGTAATGTGACAGGTTCTTGGCAAATTACCCTCTCAGGTTCGACTCTTCTCTCAGCCGAACTACCATCATCACAAGATTTGACGACCGAAGGGAAGGGGCAGACGCTTGTGATTGATATATACAGCATAACAGAACTGGAACAAGCAATGATAGTATCTTGAACAGTTTCAACTTGTTCACTGAGCAAGCTTATAAAGCAACCGCCCGGTAAGCGGGAGATGCGGGTTCGAGTCCCTACCTGGTCCGATTTCACCCACATCTCAGCAACCATAAGATAACTTCTGAAGCGCACTGCAGCACTAAACAGTCGTTGTCAAAAGTTATCATCGTTGTCAAAAGTTATCAAACTAGAAGAGCAATCACTAGCGATCGGGCTCACATGCAACAAGTAGTGGGATCGATTCACGCGTGATTCCCAGTTCATTTTCCAGGATTATAGCCCACGAAACTTCTGGCATCTCTGCTCGCCCCACTTCATGTAGGAGGACTCACGTTAGGTTTCAAGTTTCGCACTGAATTAGTGTGATATTCAGATTAAAGATTAAATACTATTGCGAGCGAATTTCTAGCCAAATCTGTGATTTTGACCCAAATTTGAAAGAATGAGGTATTGTACTGGTTAACGGTATTAAACTGAGGCCCTACCATCGATGTGGCTGGTGTAGATGGAATTTATTCCTCATAATCAGGAAAATGATGCAGATTATGAGAACTTTAGGCCAGGAATTGTTTGCAGAAAGGCATTACTAGAGAGTCATCTCAGCTCAAAGGCGAGTCATCAGTGACAGGCCGGACTGCTGGTTATCACTGGTGATTGCTATTCAACCAAGATTAACATAGCCCCACTTTTTTGAAGTTGAATCGAGATAAGATACTGCTTAAGTGCTGTCCCTGGGAGTTATCTGGCCCCTGAAGTCTAATATCACACTCGCTTATGATTAGCGCAAGAGTGATTATGTCGCACGCTGCAGGCACCGACGCCAACGCGCCTCGAGAAAAAAGTGAGAAAAACATTTATGACTCAGAGAGTCGTTCAGCAAATTCTAAAGGCAGGTCGAGCTATCGTCTCAAGATGCGTACAAATGTGGGCACCCCATTGGGAGGCGCCAGACTGACCTGTTGCCCTTCGTTGATAATAGGGGAAGAGCGCCGCGGTGACGTAATGGGTAGCTCACTCGTCCGCTCAGACGGAGATGCGGGTTCGAGTCCAGTCTAGACTCCGAGGACTGCCTTATGACTTCGCAACCTAACATCTTCTGGACTTTCGGAACGCGGTCTATAGTGTTGAACAGCAGTTATGATACTGATAGGAGTCGGCAAAAATTTGTCTCAACGCCAAGTAGGGCCCTTGACCCAGCTACATAGTGTATCAAACAGGATCCGTGATGAGTTTCGCAACGCTCAATTCTGTCTTGAAAGCCGTCGTATATCTTGGGCAGATGGAGCAAAGCGGGATAATCCCGGCTTATGGGTGCTATATACTGAAAATATGATGTTAACATTATAGGATTGATACGAGTTTGCTAGTGGATTTCAGTAGTTAATTGATGTTCACTTTGCTGAATTCATCTACGTTCACGGCTGCACTTTCAGGGAGTTCTAACCTTCCGGCTTTGTTTTAGGCTTATTATCAATTGCGATATTTTGACGGAAGTACGCGTACTAAAACAAATCTGCGCACTTCTGATAAGATCACAGGGAATTTTTGTCATTGAATCATTTCGCAATCATTTTGCACCTAATTTCTCCCTCTAGTGCAAAGCTCCAAGTGGAAAATGGATCATACTCTACAACCATTCTTCTCATACAGGTGTACTGGTGTAATTCCTCATTAGGTCTAGGGGTAGCTAGTTTTTCTCGGGAGCCACGTGAATCACTGGAATACTATAGGATGGGCACGGAGAGGAGGGAATCGGGGCGGGAAGGGAATCAGCTCTGTAGTAATGGTGTAAAGATCTATGTGGCTTTATTGACGAGACGGGGTGGTCTCGTTGTAGTTGCGATGGAATACAATATAGTTGAGACGGGGTGGTCTCTAGGTAGTCCGAGACGGGGTGGTCTCGGTGGTGGACATGGTAGAATCTAACGCGTAATCTACACTGTAGTTCGCTGCGGACGGTTGGGCGTGTCAGCCAGTATGAGTGTGCACACAACAAAGCCGTTCTCTGCCTTCTTGTTGAAGCGCGCATGCGACAAAAAGTGGTAGAAAACGAGTAATACGAACGATATGATACAGTATTGTCACTTGCTCGCTTCAACAACTGGTGGAGAACGAGTTTGGCACCGCGCCAAACGCAGCCGCACTGACACGCCCAACCGTCCGCAGCGAACTACACTATAGGCGTGCCTCTCAATACAGCAGAGGTCACGCATCGAGTATCTAACTATTTACCTATGGGTCATAATCACATGTCTCAATGTTCCCTATGGGTTATACATATCAATCAGGCAGTCTTAAAAGGTGCACCGGCAGGTTCTGGTGGCAATCCAGAACCGCGGGCAAGAGAAGGGGAAATGAGATCAACAGAGGATAATAAAGAGAGGTAATATCCAGGGCAAAAGATAGAGGTATGGGTGGCATAAAAGATTCAGATAAGGCTAGTAAGCGAGGGTATATCACAACAGTTAATGAGTGTTCTGGGAAATGTGGGGATACCAGTCCTAGATGGTTCCCTTGTGGCTCGTAGGCGGTGATGGCTGTTGCTGTAGTAGTGGTCGTCTTTGGTGCGTCGGCTGGCTATCAGTCGAATTCGTCAGTGGGTTTCGCTGCGGTGGAGCTTCGGTGGCAGTACCAAAGTTGACGAGTTGCAGTGAAAAATATTGGGCACTATTCAACTATTACTACCCCAGTTTTGCGAAAACAGGCCGGATCTTGATCGACTTTTTTCTACGGGGGTGGATTTGGCTGAAAGTTGGGTTCTAGGGGTAATTCGACCTCCTGAACACGAATATCACATCCACTTGGCCTGAAATTGCCTGGCGCCCGCGCCATAGGCGCCAGTGATTTGGGGCATTTTGGCGCCGGCGCCCGTAGCGCGGACGCGGAGCGGTTTCAAGCCGAGGGAATGTGATATTCGTGATTAGGAGGTCAAACTACCCCTAGGTACAAGTTTTCAGCGGATTTCGTGATCTAGGGTACTTTGGCGCCGGCGCCTGTGGCGCGGGCGCCAGGCGGTTTCGAGAGGAGCGGATGTGATATTCGTGTTCAGGAGGTCGAATTACCCCTAGAACCCAACTTTCAGCCAAATCCACCCCCGTAGAAAAAAGTCGATCAAAATCCGGCCCGTTTCCGGAAATCTGGGGTAGTAATAGTTGAATAGTGCCAAATATTGTTTTAAGAATGGCAAATAACACACAGAAATACGATTTTTTATAGATTGGTATATAATGATATGTTCACTAAAGGAAAGTTTATCTTTCCGGGGGAAGCCGGTCGCTAAAGACGAAACGGGAGCGCATTGTTTCCCTGATCATTCGCTGAAGTATGGAAAGAGAATCCGCAACTATTGTAGCTCTACGCTTGAGGCATAAATCGGCGGAATTTTGTCGAACTGATATCGATTGTATGGGGCCTGCCCCTCCTTGTTGAATGGGTCAGTTGGGCTACCTTCTTCTACAGAGGAACTTTTTAGTGACTCGTCAAACAGTTTTGTGACATCTCTTGCTTGCTCGTCTTTCCCTTTTTCATGGGATCTGCCAGTGTCAAGAGTTCTGCGACTTCTATGTCGCCTGCGCCTGTGACTGTTTTTATATTCTTGTGGCGCCGCTTCAGTCTTTGTCGTATTTTCGTGGATGTCGCTGAATCGAATGTCACCATCCACGAAAATTGTCGCCAGCAACATTTTTACTTTTATTTGGGTTGAGCTTTAGTGAAATGAGCTTTCATTCAATATTCTTAAGCATAGAATTAGCTAAGAGATAGATAATAAAAAAAATTCAAAGGTACCTGCTCGGGTTTGTCCCGGCCGTTTGCACCAGAAATATGAAGGTTTATATACCTTTATTGACGAGACGGGGTGGTCTCGTTGTAGTTGCGATGGAATACAATATAGTTGAGACGGGGTGGTCTCGGTGGTGGACATGGTAGAATGCTAACTTAATCTAGGCGTGCCTCTCAATACAGAGAGGTCACACATCGAGTATCTATTTACCTATGGGTCATAATCACATGTCTCAATGTTCCCTATGGGTTATACATATCAATCAGGCAGTCATAAAAGGGTGCACCGGCAGGTTCTGGTGGCAATCCAGAACAGATGGTCCCCATATTAACTAAAGCTCACATAGATCAAAAATAGGGTGAACTTGCTTGGAACAGACAGATATTCTTCTTTTCTGCACATGAAGGAATCAAGAAGCACTAGAAGTTTGTTTTTGGCGGACAAATGAAAGAAGCGCACACGTTTAGAAGGCGGAGCTTCGTTCAAGAGCGATCGGAAACACCGGCGGGGAACTTCCGACGATCTCTGCGATTTCGGAAATTCCGGATGGACATCCCGAAGTAGGTTTCAATGATTAGTGATTCTATTTTGAGCTGTGGGACTAATGACTGTCTCCTTATTCTTCAGTGATAAGTCTGGGATGTCATCGGACAATGGAAACATTTCAAATGAAGTACCATCAGAGGTTGGGAACGTCCGCAGAAAGAAGATAGTGCACAATACGCTCCGGCAAAGCGGTAAGCTTTTCACCGTTACAAACTGATATATGAGGCTTCGGATCTTCGAAGTCGCAACGTGGGACGCCCGTACGTCTCTTGTTCAACTTTTTTGAATTGTTTCATAGGCAGTAGACGTTGAGGTCGACAAGGCTTATGTTTTGTCGGAGCCCTTGTTCTACATAGGACACATATCGCGTTAGGTGTTTCGAACAATTCAGTACAACCCGCCCCGCTTGAAGAGGGGGCAGGTACGACCTTTTTTTTCTTAAAAACCGTGCAGTTCACATCGCCGCATTCAGGAACCGGGCTCACTCCGCTCTGATGATACCTTTTGACTGACTGCGACGTTAACAGTTATAAAATCGAGGACAATATTGTAGGGAAATACAAGCAGGAACAAATTTATAAAAACTCCAACTTGGGCCCGTTAAAACCCTTAGTTCAAAACTGGTGTCGCAAGGAATTGGCAGTTCAGCGAAATCGCATTAGATTTCTCAGCGCAATGTTTTGTATTCACTCAAAATTTCTCAAAGATGTGTTCGGGTATTACAATCTGAGTGGGCTTCGGGGTTCAAATAGGAATACATCGACCCGCTAAAGACATAAAAAAGTGGTAAAGCTCAAAGATCGCTGACGAGGTCGTTTTCGAAAGGAAAGGGGTATAGAAAACGAATCATAGAGCGTGGTAGGAAATGAAGAAACGAATCAGAAAATGAAATACCGGAAGAAATACGAGACACTGACTGACCACGAGAGGGGTTTTGTAATGGCGTATCGCGTTGGAGCAGGTTACCCTCAGCGCCGTACAAAAGCAACTGAGTTATCACTTTCCGACAGGTACCAGAATATGACGATGAGTAGTTTCTACTTTACAAAATATGCTTCGTTGGGGATTCTGAATTATGATCACGTGCGAGTTTTGGGCTTCACCTGACGATAACTTGCTTCACTCTAATCTTCTGGGTCTCACGGCGGGGCTGTCACTGTAAGGCTGCGTTCACACTTTGCGACAGCTAACGTTTCGAGCATCTGGCAGCGTCAGTGACTGTGAAAGTAGAGACAGGGTACAACATCGTTCTGTGAAACATAGGGGGGGGGTCGTACTTTTGTGGAGTGCGAGGTAGTATGTGGTCGTTGTTGGGAGAGGGGAAGGGGTTGTATGTGGCTCCGAGAAAAATTTGCCACGTTGGGAAAAAAATTCTCCCGGTTGTTGATTTTTTGTGATTTCTCCTGTTTCATGTGATTTTTCGTGGTTTTTTCCTGTTTCATGTGTATTATATACCCTCCCCCCCCTCGCTCGACGGAAAATTTTTGGGTGAAAAACTGGAAAATGTGGGAAATTGGTAGGTAGTTTTGGGGAAGGCGGCGGGAGGGGGTCGTACCGATCCTCCCCCGCCTTCCCCAAAACGCGTCTGCCAGCGTGCATCAGTGTCTATCAGCATCTGGAAGAGGAGAGTATGGCACGATAGGAGGGTAACAGACAACTGGTACCCTCCTATCGTGCCATACTCTACGAGCAGTCTGCTACCCTCTTATGTCCCCATACTCTACCAGCTGTCTGCTAGTGGACGCTGCCGCAAAGTATGAACTCAGCCTAACTCCCAATAATTACTGTCAACGAAACCTCACGATCTGAGTCTCACGAGAATACTTTTCCATTCCATTAGCTTGATATCAAGAGTATTGGTGTAGCTTGCACATGTCAAGGATCGGTGATTCTGGTTCACCATTGTACTCGTTATACTGAGTCCCACGCAGCTGCCTTATTCTCACATCGTCCCGATTCACTTCTCCAATGGTTGATCCTAAATCATGAGACGTCCTGCCGTCCCTGAAAAGTTTTGCAAAATGCGATCCCGCCTCAAAATTTCCTCTTCTGGTACAACTCCCTCCACATCCCCTCCCATCCCCATCCTTCCCATTATCCTACGTCTCCATCTATTTTCCCAATTTTCTGCTACTTCTGAGTCTGAGCTACGGTGTTGTCCTCGATATTCCCCAAAAAGCTGCCGTCGAGCGGCTGACAGGGTGAGGGTATAGCGCCGGTGAAACGGGAACAGCCTAGAAGAAGGCAACAACCGAAAACATTTCTAACAGCAAGAACAGGTCACGTCATCTCACCAATGAGCCGTTTCCTTAGGGAGAAAGAATAAAGTCTTCGCCGTTTATCAATCCCTTTCCGGGATGCGGCATGCATTCAGCTTGCATTCGGAATCGTAGTGGCGTTTTGAATACGATGTAGCCTATACAATCTCTTGCAAGGGTCAGCTGATGTGCAAGTAGTGTTCCTATTCTCTCGACAAGTCTGCTGCTAGTTCACCGTCTTCGGAAGTAGACGGCTTGCTTGGCTTAAGCAGGAGCCTACCTAGGGCTAGACCCTCGCACCGCGCGTGCGCTAACCAGACCACTTGCCGCTACACTACCTTTTGTTTCAAGGGAAGGAGTGAAATTTAGGTCAAAATCTGAGCGAAGTCAGTATAACAGCTCTAGGTCAACATTTGCTTGCGTGGTCTGACAAGACTTTTTTCCCCATATTAAAAGCCTTCACTTCTAGTGCTTCTATCAAAAAATAGCGGTTCCAGAGTGATAGGCACTTTGTGTAGTGTCAACTTCAAGGTTTGATATCCGTTCTTGTATTTTCAGTGCTCCGATAAATCCTCGAGACTCCCACGAACCGTCTCCATCGGTGGATGACACTTCGGCACTTCTCGACAATATCTTCCCATCTACAGAAGAACGCGTTGCTGCATCATCACGAAAAACTCGGGTAAGTTTTTTTTTCAGTTTTCTTCCGAGCGAGAAGTTTGGCGAAATGGCGTAGTAATTTTATGAGCGAGTAAATGGTGCGGTGAATTTGTGTCCTGTCTGAAGAAGGAACAACCCGCTTTCTTGATTTTTCAGGTTATAACGGCGAGACGTCGTAGGCGGAAGATTATAACTATGAAGAAAAACAGAAGAAGGGTAATGCGTTCAGAATTTATTTCCCAGAAAAAAAAGAAAGTTGAAGTGACATTGGCGAAAAATGTATCATATATAATCGGTATCATTTGAGCAGGATTTATCAACCTAATTTGCGCATCGTTAATTTTTCTGCGCCTACCTGTGAGTATCAACTCCCTCCCATTGTGAAGAGGAACTGATCACTTCAGGATGTGCCTACGAATCTTGCCTACGCCTAAGAAGGCTGTAGGGTAGTAACGATCAAGCTGTGTTCATACTCTGCGGCAGCATCCACCAGCGACTGTCAGCGTCTCGAGCGTGTCTGCGTCAGCGACTGGAAAAGTGTAGAAATCGATTCAGCGAGCGACAGCGTTTACCGGCGTCTACCAGCGACCAGGACTAAGTTAGGATGTAGGAGAGTGGTGGACTACAGAGTATGGGGAATTAGGAGAGAGGAAACAGCTAAATAAGCATGAAATTAAATCAAATTAAATTAAATCAAATTAACAGCGAAATGTGGCCCGTGCCACCGCATCGTACCACTAAACAATACCGTACGCTGCCACAAGTATGAACGCAGCTTTGCCTCAGAGCACCGTCCTCAGAGATGGGTGCACATTCAAAGGTTCACGCTACTGCGGGATCGCTGCAAGTGGGGTTACGGTACATAAGGTGCTACAGCACGTTAGGTGAGTTTGCTAGGACACGCCAGCTATGCGGAACCGCAACGTAGATCTCAGTGCCGCCTGGGATAAGAGTGAAGTCTAATAGTACAAAATAATAATAGTGTTAATAATGATAGTAATAGTGTTTTCTTGTGACTGTTTTTTTCACCATGTGCTACATTCCGATTTTGGAATAATCGTTATTCTTCCGTTTCAGCAGTCCTCAATAAGTAACATCTTTGGAAGCCCGGTTCGCAGAAAAATAGATGTTGATGAATGGGTACAGGAAGGACGTGGAAAATACACCAGAGAGGCTGTCGTGATGTTTGAGAAGGTTCAAGAGGAAGAACAGGTTTGACCTAAAGGCTAAGGCTATATCTGTAAAAAATGTGACATGTAGTTAGTTTTCAGAGGCTTAAACTGCAAAGGTTGTCAGAGAGTGGTGGCATTGAATGGGTGAATCTGGGTGGACAGTTCAAGATTAAAACGTGGTTCAGGTACGCTACTATGATTTTTCATAGGTCTAGGTTGAGTCAAGGTGGTCCATTTTAATCAGGGCACGTCCTACGTTGAGGAATCCCCGGCGATGTTGGTCGTGTTCTGTTGCTGCACAGAGGGGGGGGGTCGTAATTGGAATGAGAAAAAATTTTTTTGACAGGTGATTCTTCATGCTCTACGAGTCCTAACGTTGCAGTGAGTCGACTGCAAAACTTTTAGGGGAATTTCGGATTTCCAAAATATGGATAGGAGGCTGGCAAACGTTGAAGTATGGGGGTATAGGAGGAATTGGAGGGGCGGGGGTGGGGGGGTGTTTTCGAAAACTTCCCGAGCGGCAGGAGGTCCTCTGATTTTTATGGACCAGCAACTAATGCATATGAGTGCTAACTGTCAAATGGAAGAGACCTTTTATCACTTGTTCTTTAGCGGCAACTATCCCGCGGAATATTCCGGTCTGAAAACTATATATGTTTGTGATGGTTGTTTCTCATACTTCAGCCATGAACCATCTCAGATACGACACATGGTAAGTACTGATTTTCTCAACCAAAACAAGTCATTGCAGTACCAACTGTTTGAATTTTCCTTGATCCGTTCCATTTCCGGAAATCGTTTTTCCTTTTGTTAGATCATCATCTTTCAAAACATAAAGAAGTGGCATGAAAGTAATGAGGCCGCCAGTTTCTGTTTTGTTTGGAAGCCAACACATTTACAGCTACATATTCCTCAGAATTAGTCGAGATGGCCAAAAAAAAAACAGAAAGTGAAAGGAAGCTTGGTTGATCAAATAGCGCTGGGAATAATGAATCGGGTGATTGCGTGCAAGAAGAATGTTGATCTTAATTGTGTAAACTGATTGATATAGTTGTTAATAACTTGGTTGGCTTGGAGCCAGGATGAAATGCGAGGGGATGTGTCGGACGCCGGCTCGCTTGACAGTTGAAGGTTACAATCTCCCGTTCGTACATGCCCCCGCTTCCGGGCGGCTGACGTGAACTAACGGTTGCGTAGCTCCCTGAACTACGGATCTAGCGGCCTCATTTCCTTCCCTCTGCTGCAGTATTGGATAAGATCCGTCCACTGAACTAGTAGGCCACAACGAGATGACTCGTGTGAATGAGGGCGAAACCATCTGTGCGTGAACAGAGTTATCTCAGCGGTATAACCTAAACTGTTTGTTAGTAAAAGCGTTAACACAGCGTATAGTTCCATCATGCGGATCTGTGATCCTTTGAAATAGAAAACTCACGGATCTCGCAAGGTTTCGTGATGAGGAACCCCTCGTCTCACCGTTGACTTTGCGGAGAATGAACCAACCACAGATGGATTCCGCTAGATATTCTAAGGGTCCACGCCAAAACAATATCTGCCGCCGATAGTGGGTTGAATAGAGGTGAGTCGACATCGTGATGTTCAGCAAGAATAACAGAGAATTTGTAGTGTTGCGCAACAGGCAAGTCATGACGCTGGACTATAGAGACGTGTTAGTTGAGAGTTGACTGAAGGATGGAGTAGTTTACTTGGGTGGATGGTTAGTAGTCATCCGCACTGTGGAGTGGGATGAAGGAATTGTGAGGGCTGTTGTGATCGATGCCACCGGGAGGCAACGGATTTCCCGCCCGATCATGCGAAAAGGACACGGCGACGAGCTACGGTAGGCGCCAGTACACTCAGAAGGGACCCTCGGGAGTGATCCTTGCGATTCGGACAGGAGTTACTTGGAATGGCACTCTTAAAACCGAATCTGGAAGAGTTGATGCGAGTATACAGTGAACGAGGAACGGCAAAAGTTATGATGGGGAAGCGTAACGTTCGCCTTGCGTACAAAAAACTGGTGGATGAAATCCAGCGTCGAATGCCTGATTACAGGGACCGGGCATCGTAGAATTTGGTCTTCTGCACCGAACCTAGAGGTCACAAACGTCGGAGCGTTTGAGTGGAGGTAGATGAGACGAGCTGTGTCATGAGGGGTTATATGGGTCTAAGCGGATGTGTATCGTGGCTATAGGGTAAGAGATCTAGATCGAGTCTTTTACATTCGCCTAGTCTGTTTTGTGGCTTGAACTGTTCTGAAGAGCTGAAGGCATTGCTTATGGCAAACGATAGAACTACTTGTCGATCGCCGAAACTAACTAACGGGCTTTCATCCGCGCTCACTAAGAAGGAAGCTGCTTGCTGTCCGTGTGCGCTCTGGTAGCTGGCAATAGGCTATGGACGATAACGGAGTCTACCTGATCCTAGCCGAAATTATAACCCATTTTTCCGGGATATAAGTCGCCCTCATGTATAGAGCACCTTCGCCTTGAATGCCGCAAATGTTTCCCCTGGCTTTCGTTCCCTTGTTTTT